ATTTGTAGAAATAAAGATTTTAAAACTTTTATAAATTCAGCTTTTTTATTTTATATTTACATTCACTTACTCTGCTAATCGAATTTGTTATGAATTGGTCTAATTGGTCAACAATTCACTGGACTCGTTTAGTCTTTGTAAACGTGTAACGTTGACAAAAATCCAAAAAGGTAACACTTTTTTCAGAGCTTTCTGTAAATCCAGCAAATACATCTAATGCCCATTTGTAAATTAAACTGGTGAGCCCACCATATGTCCTGTAGGTGTACCAATTTTCCACAGACTGGCACTGAAGTGAGTGGTTTTAATTAAATGACAAGGGGGATGAAATCTCATCTACAGCAAAATTTAATGCTACATCTGCTCAAAAAATTATTCATGGAGACAACAAAGACAATGTTTTCTTCTCTTCCGATGTACTTTTTTGTCGTGTCAATTTTTGCTAAACCTATTACTTTATAAAAATGCAATTTATGAACATTTAACTCAATGATCCTTACAGATTTTACTGCTGAACTTTTTATTTGCAACCGTGACCAGTAATGTAAATCTTTGTTTTTTTTCTTAGTATGTCTGTTTCTTTTAGATGAAAATATAAATAGGATCCTGTGATGGACTTGCGACCTGTCCAGGGTGTACCCYGCCCCTCGCACTGTGACTGCTGGAAATGGGCACCAGTGACCCACGCGACCCTGAAAGGAAGAAGCGTGTACAGAAAATGGATGGATGGATGGATATAAATAGGATCCAACCATGATAATCCTGTTTGGTTAATAACAAAAAAGAATTAATTTAAAATAAAAAACTGAATGTGTGTCCTCATAAAACTTTCAGAGGCTGTAAATGTATAACTGAAAATTGGTGCTTCATGCGAACATTTTGGCTTTTTTGATTTACATTTTGCATTTTACATCTATGGTCTTCTTAGCTCATGCATTTTGTTAAGTAGGTGTCTGTGTATTTTATTTATTATTCATTTTCAAGTTTTTTGATACTACAGATGCATTACCTTTTCAATAATTAAATAATTATACCAAGTGTGTTTTTCATTGCTCTCCTCATACAAACAGCTGGGGGAAAAAAGCTAATTTACATTAAAATTACTTCTAAAAATATACTTTACATACTGTAAGTAGAACTAAGCTCACCACTTTAGATATGTTTTTTTTAAAAGACAATTTTCTTCTTTATCTGAAAAACATCATCTCTGTCCACACTGAAGATATAATCTTCTCATGCCACACCACTAGATGGCAATAACTTGGACATCTAGGAGCTCATTAAAATAAAGAAGAACATAATTTTGAGCAAGGCTAAATATTTTACCCAAACATTTAGAGCCTGCTTTACCATTGACAAAGTTGACCATTTTTCTCAAACCTTTTCAGCACGTTTGAAGTTTAATGACAAAATGACCAAGGGAATATGGGAAACGTAGAAAAAAAATGCTAAAAATGTCTCCACTGCTGGAGGTTTTAGCACAAAAAGCATTTGTGAGTATGTAAGCAGTAGGCTACATTATCATTTTTCTAAGTTTCTGAGTGTCAAACACCAATAAAAGTTTTTTTTTTAATTCTCCACCTTTAGAAAACATTTGTAAAAGTGTTCATGTGGATGAGAGGTGCAAATGCAGCACAAAGTGTCAGTTTAACAAGGGAAGGTTGTAACTCCCCAAGAATTTGTTCACTGAACTGAGCCTCAAGCACACTAGACGAACTGTAGAAATAGGATCCATGCAAACATTTACACTCTGTGCACGTTTAAAATGTGCTTTTGGTTTCTTCTTGGTCTCTCATAGTGGGAATGATGTCTCGTCTTAATCCTCTCTGACTTCATACTTTCAAAGGTCATCTCTCAGCCCATGTGCAGGCTGTGCCGTGTGTGCTTGGTGTGAATAAGAACAAACAAAATCTGCTGTATGTGTCAACAAACGCTATAGGCCTATCTCTGCTTACTGTGAACATTATACCACCTTCTCTCTACAACTTACTAGACATTTCTCTTCCCTTTCCTCCCACTGTTCTCCTGTCCTCTACCCTTCACCATCTTCCACACATTTTCCTTCATTGCACACTTCTTTCTTTTCCTATATACCTCTGTTCCTCTCTTCCTCAAAGCTCCAGAGTCAGGGGCATCTCTTGGCGAAGTGTGGCCCACCACAGGCCACTGGCTCCGGGTAATTAAAGTGGTTTAGGCTCCTTCACCCATGGTCACAGGCAACTGCTGCTGGGTGATAAAGGCACTGTGCCATAATTACATGGACAGCCAGCATCACCGCTCAGCTACACTAAAACAGTCAGCTAGCCAACTGCATGGGGAGGAGGGGCAGGGCATGAGTGTCAGTTCATGTATGAGTAACTGTACTATGCATGTGTGTGTGTGGGTGCGCGCACAGTGAGTCAACACCCCCTTGTGACTGCTCTGCTGTATTTAAGCCTCCTGTGTTTAAGCCCCCATACAGGTTCATCGAGCCCCTATGCTCACACACTCACACACACGCATACATACATTTTAACCTACCTCAAACCAATCATTCCCCACCAGTGGTCTGACTCCGGCCGCGAGTCTCTGTGACCATCAGCCATTTAATTAGACCCAGCTATGATTTACCTAATTTAAATAAATAAATAAGCATATAAAACACCCAGATATACAAATGAAGGAGCTGGTGAGTTTCATGAGTATCAAGAATGTAACGCCTCCCTGCATCATCACTGGCCAAGCAGTGGTACTGCAACAGTTCACTGCTGCTTGATGGRCTTCAATAGCTGTACCTGTGAAGGTGTGGGTTTAAGGTGTGTGGCTGGATGCAGATTACCACTGAGATTGCTGGATGTTTGCCAGGCTGATTTGTTGGGACAGAATCACTACAGGGGCTGATGGCTGTATGATTATGATGGTTTGCTGAGGGATTCTGATCTTAGCTGACTGTGCTTCATTTGAGAAACATGAAGGTTTGATTAAAGCTCGTGTCTTTTTGGAGGAGAGAAATGYTTTTTATCCATCCCCACTCACCATAACCATAGCTGACTGGTCTTCTAATAAAAAACAAACTCTTCAGTCTTTATTTTATGTTGAAGCCCAATTAGCAGGGTTTTAACACATGAGATTAACAATGGGCGATAGGTGTGTTAAAAGACTTTAATGCACCCTTATAAAACTTGGAAATTAAAAACATTAGCGTTGTTCTATTAGAAATCAGAAATAGTCCCTTGTAGAAAACCAATACAGTATTTTTTGTTTAGGAGAGGATTGTTTTGCGTTTTAAATTTTATAATAGGTCTATAGRGTAGGGTATAATCTTATCGTGTGCAATTAATCGTCAGAAAAACATTAATAAATTTTTTTTGGCACTTGACGATTAATACGATTAATGCCACCAGGCAGACTGACTGGTGCTCCTCTCCGCTTCAAATATGATGAACATTTAAAAAAAAGTTATGTAATTTATTTATCTATCAACACAATTTAAAATTTGATGTATAGCCTGAAGTTTGTAATTTTGACACTATTTGGAACAGATTTTTATGAAGAGCAAATCTTTCCCACTAAATTGGTCATGTGACTAAGGCTACRTTCACACTGCAGGTCTTAATGCTCATTTCCGATTTTTAGAAAAAATCCGATCCTTTGGTGTGAACGTTCACATTACATTTTAAATGCGACCTGCATCAGACTCCTGTGTGAATGCTACACAGCACTGATGTGACAYGCATGCGCAGTAAAGACGTGCTGTCTCATCAGCCGGCTTGTTTGTTTACAAAGTTAGTATGGATGCTAATATTTGCACGTCGAATCTGAAGTTCTTGTTTAATCTCAGAGYCGATTAAATAATTATCTGACATGTTTGTTTAGTTCAGTGTTTATATCTGAACCTGCCTCTGACCGGGATGCTCCAGTGAAGCTTTTTATTTTTGAATGAAATGAGCTGAAAATAAAGTATCGACTGAGTAACTTTAGAATCGATACTCTCCGCGACCCAGGCTGGACGTTATCGACATGGAAAATTAAAAGTAAAAARACGAAGCAACTGGACTTCTGTGTTGGAGCTGTAAACACATGGAGCTACAGATTTAAACAGGGTGACTTGAGGTGAGTGTCTTACCTCCCTGATGAAAAAGTCAGATGGAATGTGACATGAGCGTTCACACTGCAGTCACTTTGAAAACATCAGATATATATCCGATTTAAAACCACATAACGAAATGGCCTGGGTCGGATTTGAAAAAATCTGATTTGTCGCGTTCAGACTGTCATAAAAAAATCGGATATGGGTCAGATGGGGCAAAAAAAATCTGATTTGGGTCGGATTTGCCTGCAGTGTGAACGTAACCTAGGACATAAGGGACTYCAGGGGATTAATTGTCAAATTAATCGTTAATGGCTAAATACCCCTGTGGTAGAACTAATACTTTTTGTTTAAGCAAGTAATTCATGACATCCTTTAATGACCTAGGTTTTCATGACATTCTGTTCATCAGCAGATAGAGTGATTAACGTCACAACAAGATTTGCTAACAACAGTCATTCTTAGATATCACTTGTGTTTATCTTTGTGTTTTCCATTGACCTTGTATCAAATCTTGCTAAGATGACAGAATGTTAATATATATATRWGRSSYCTCKMGASACAGTGTTCAAAAGGGTGCAACAGAGTTCAACAGTAGTGTGGAGAGACTGACAGAGAGAARCAGAGGCACAGAGAMAGGCCAGGTTCTCTGTGTTTCCTGTTGTTGCAATAAAACTCAGCTGATCATCYCACGGAGTACCTTCATTCTTGGACCACGTATTTCTGTCTTTGTTAAATAAATATCACCATGACAACCCCAATTAATCAYGATAAAAAAWTTTTGCCAATATTGCCCAACCATATCGGTCAACTTATTTTACAGTAAGTGCTAGTGACGAGGCCGCTTTTCTGCCTTTTATTGCAGAATTCATTCAATTTGCTGGAACTAACCTATACTTCCTGCAGTCAAATTGATCTTTTTTTTTTTTACCTTTGGGGAAGAGGAGGCMAGCTCTCTCCCTATCACGGCTGCCACTGGGCTGGGCCCAACCGACTGGATTCCATCTGGGCCAGAGGTGGGTTTGGGGATTGATGGACTGGGGACAGGGCTGGTGGTGATACTTGGTGGTTGAGGGGCCCTCCTTTTCTGGCTGCTGCCCACATCAGGAGAGGGACTGCAGGCAGGTGGTCTTGCTGGACTTGATGTCTTCGGCTCGTAAAATGGATTGGATCTGAAAGTGAAGGATGAGATGACAGGAGAGTGACGACAATGATCATCTCTTTTAAAAATCTGTCTGTTTTGAAGGTTTTGCAAAGTTTGGTTCTAACAAAAAACGAACGTCTGTCAAAACTGCCAACTTTAAAAAACTATATTTTGGCCCTCTGATTAAACGATTGCCTTAAAAACAGGTTTCTTGCAGTGAAACTATGTCAGCATTCTAAAAAAACAAAACATATAACCATATTAGAACTTTCTTAAAAGTAAGATTTTAAGTCCAAGTGTTTCAGAAATCTATAGTGATTTTTCTCTAAGYGTAGCTTATAATCTCTGTGTATATGACACAAGAACAAAGAGGAAATACTTTAGACTTAAATGTTTTTAATTAATCATATTGTCTTAAGACAGGACTCTAAACATATCGTTGGCTTCAATTATACATTGAATATTTGAACTGAATGAAACTGCTGCACAGAGACAAAGAATTAGTCTACAATGAGGAACATACACGAGTGGTAAGCTAATAGAAGACGCAGGTGCACCGAGGTCAGGACTCTAGTGACCTCATATCCTCACTACCCATGGTGAGCTACTGACAGATGGGCAAGAACATGAGGACATGCACAAGCACACAACAACACACACACAAATGCTCATGGCACTGAAAGCAGGGGCATGGCCTTAAGGTATTCACTCAACATGCAGTGTGCAACCCTAAACAAACAATTGAACTGGCAGGTGAGGGTGGGGTGAGAAAATAGGAAAGAAGAAAGTGATTGACCAAGTACTTTTTCAAAGAAGAAGGTCCATTAGAGCAACTTTGTGTCAATCTAAATGAGAATGCTAGAAAGGAAACATAGACAGGTTCCTAGAGGAGCTATAACTGGCTAAAAGACACACGAAAAGGCTCCAGTCAAAACAATGTGCTGCCCTTTTGAACTTTCCATTCTGTGGAGAACAGCTCCTGATGTAGGAGACAGAGGAAAAAAGCGACACACCAGTCAATAACCTGTCTGTGTTTTGACAGCTGAGAGGAGTCAAACATACAGCTATCAGTGTGACAGCTTCGCTCAACAGCTGAGAGGTTCACATCTGCAATTTAGGCACGGACACTCGTCTGGAAAGGTCATGTACTATCAGTAAAACATCTCACTGAGTGGCGCAGAATGAAATTTGCTGAAAGTCTTGAAATGTTGTCATAAAAACTTGCAGAGGAGCTATCAGATGTCCTCATACCTTTGCCAAGCCAGCTAAAATTATACTTAATACGAGTGAGATATTTTTTCTAGGTGCATCAAACTGCAGATACTAACTCCTTTGAAATACTACTGCAGTATTTAATCTTGAAACATCAACCTTTTTCCTACAATGTATATCGATGTACTGAATATTAATATCTGAAAAAGATTTAAATAAATCAAAGACATAAATTGAAGCCAATGATTTCTTGGACAATCAGATGGATCCTCAGTGTTTTAAATGCCCAAAGCTGATTTAGATGACAGTGGCAGAAATGCTAAAGCAAATGGAAACATTTTACAGCTTAGTTCATAAATTAACAGAGAATCCTTCATTAACTACACTGGTGATGGAAAGAAGACAGAATGGAGGTTAAATGAAAATCAGCAGCGTCCATCTCAGGAGGAAGTTAAGAAGGGCAGCTCAGAGGGGAAAATATAGGCCMACATGTTGATAGCTGGGAGGGAGGCAGAGAGAAAATAAAGGAGGAGGGAGACATGGATAAAAATGTAGTGAAACAACAGAGGCCTTGTTCCCATTGAAAGAGCTGCTTCGTCACTTTGCCTCGTTTGTAGTTGAGGTGGGAGGTGGGGTAGTGGGAGACAGGGTGAAGGGTGCTATAGCTACAAGTACGCCTCTAAAAGGAGGGATCTTACAAAGTCACAATCAGTAATCTAGAACCTAACAAAGTGCCACAAACACGTTTGCAGCCATTAAAGAATTTCAGCATCGGAAAACAAAGTGAATWACGAATGAACTGAAAAGTCTTACTCATCGAGCTCCTCCTCGTCATTGTGAGAAGCATCAGCGTACAAGTACTTGCTCATGTCGACGGGCCGGACTCCTTTTTTCTGCCTGGGTTTGAGGGGCTCTGGTTCAGGCTGAGCATCTATGTCCTGGTTCGGCTCCTCGAAGGGGTTCCCGGGGGGTGAAACCGGCATATCAGGTTCATCTGGTTCATTGAACGGATTTGAGTCGTCGTGGTCGTAGAAGGAAACCTCATCGGGCTGCTGCCTTACGGCCGGCTGGCCAGGGTCTTCTGTTTGATAGAGGAAAAAGTAGAGACTGCGTTAAAACAAGACATCCTCCACTAGAYTTGACGAGAGCTTTGTTAGCTTCCCCCCTCTTTAAGCAGAGAGCAAGACAGCAGAAAGAAAAGAAAACAAATCTGACTGCAGTCTGTCTTGGAAAGCAGCTAAGAATTACATGCTTACTTGCCTTCTTGATACCACCTTATGTGTATTGTGAGTTTACTTTTCTGCTTTTTCTACATCATTTACAAGTATCAGACAATATGTCTAACTCAATCTATGCAGTACATACAGCACCAGTTTTTACTACTGTTTTACAAATTGGAATTTTCCTAGTTTGTGAGGAGGAAATCTCTTCATATTGTGTGTGTGCATTTATTTAAAAAAACAAATAATAAATTCTAAAGTTTAAAAGGGATTTAAGAAGTCAAATACGTGAATCAAAAGAGTCTACACTAAAGATAGTATCAAAGACAACCTAAACAGTCAAGCAACAAAGTAGATGACCCTTTGTAGGTGATCTTGTCACTTAAAAACAAATACATCCCAACACACCTGGCTGCCCAGGTGGTCAGACCCAAATATTGTTTTAGGTGTCTGACTCAAAGCATTAAGAGGTGCTCTAGATGAGTCCTACTCTTTTACCGGGGAGTTATCAAAACTTAAAAACCAGAACTTATGAACATTTTTTATCCACCAGAAAAAAATTCTAAGAGATTTTATTTTAGTAGAAGCTGATAGAGATGTAGTACGTACCTTCAACATCAGGATCACTAAATGGGTTGTTGGGGTACGACTGATGGTCATCATCAGGTTCATCAAAAGGATTTGTATTCATGGCTGGAAAAGTCTCCTGATCTTCATCCTCCAAGAAGTTTAGCTTGTTAATCAGCTCTGTCACCAGARTCCACAGGAAAAAAAAACTTATTTAAAYRCCCTACAAATTTGAAAATCAAGACACGTCTCAAAATACACTCACAAACACAAGTATACCCAAAATCTGCACTTGGAATGAACCATTCAGTGTTGCATCGAGTACTCCTCCTAAAACTCCTCTGTGTTTCTCAGCCACCCCGCTCGTCGGTGCGTATACAACAGTGGAATCTTGGGAAAAATTGAGTGGTATGGAGGGGTGCCTTGGGAGGCTGAAGAAAACATGGAGGTTGCTATAGAGATCCTGGCTGGAGATCCTAAAGACTTGTCCACTTTGTCTTCATCGTAACTGCAGCAGCTCAATTCCAGTCTGCCAGGGCATGGGTCAGTTTGAAAAGAGTGTAAATGTAACCGAGGTAGATGCCAAGAATTGCTGCTGAGAGCTTTTTGAGAATCAGAATGGGGGGGGAGCTTGGTGAGTATGTGTCTATTTGTAGTTTGGCTATGTAAAGTGGTTGTAGCTGATAAGAGATGCCGCACTTTTCTTTTTTGGTTCTCTGGGACAACATGCACGGCCTATTTCAGTTTGAAAAAGTATAAAAATGAAAGGTATTTTCATTTCTAAGTCTCTTTAATAACTATTTTTAATAAGAGAGTAACTAAGTTCTAAAAAATATCATTATCCARTGGTTTCATGAGAATAACAGAAAAAGTGAGAACAAATTTTCTAAGCTGTTTGACAAACAGAACCATGCAACTTTGTTCTTACTGTATTATTACCTAATCTAGAAGAAGGTGGCTTTATTAGGTATGACATATACCTACACTGGTTCACTTCCAATTGCAGTGGAGGAAAAGGGAAGGTCACATTATACAAAAATCAAGAGGAATATAAAGGACAAACACCAACTGAAATGTTTAAAAGACCATGTACAGGACATCAACAGGACCRTAATAAACTTAATTACCACATGACCACAACACAATCACAATACCAATGTCAAGGTGGGTCAAGGGGGGTGGTTGGGTGGAGATTGAAGCTGACAAAAAAGAAACCAAAATGGGCAGAATTCTGAAAGTAGTATTATCAAAAATGAAATTAAGTGCAGAAAAATAAAATTATAGATATTATTACAGACAGTGACTGGTAGGGAAGAGGCCATAAGGTGTCCAYAAGGCAATGAAGAGTAAAGGAACCAAGAATGAGAAAGGGGGTGAAGGAAAGGTGAAAAAAGACCTTGGGAAGAAGCAGCAGGCTTAGCTGTTGCTTTGCGTGCCCACTTGGTAACACCACCACCACCACCATCATCATCATCATCATCCCCATGTAAGCAGCTGAGGGCATTCAACTGGTTTACTATCTCTGTAGAGGACAGGTCCATACAGGAAGGGAGGAAGGAAGAATAGAAGTGAACAAGGCAAAATAGCACACCCTTTTCTCAAAATACCCACTCATAACAAAAATACAACCTCCCTTTATTTCCACACATCCAAAAAATGTGTTTATATAAAAGAGCATAATGTAAGGCTTATCTTTTACATGTTATATTACTGAAAACACTACACTAACCAGCTGAAAGAGAAGGAGAGGTGTGGAAATTTGTCAAATCCAAAATGCATCTCAATATACACAAACAATTCTGCACTGATTTAGTAACAATTTCAAGAGTTATAGGATACAGTTATTAAACAGGTTAGTAGAACAATCATGCTGCTCAGTTAACATGAAATGGTACATTACAGTGGGGCTGAACAATATTRGAAGAACGTGTGAGGAGCCATATTATTACTTAATATTGCGATGATGATATAAATTCCTATAAACCCTACTTTTCTTCACTCTTCACTTTCTCTTTTGTYATTACTTTCATCGAAACCTGTTCTGGGCATGAAGGCCAGTGAGAGTCTGTTAGATTGACCAAATATATTATTAGCAACAGATCATGAATTCACCTAGAACTTGATATATATTTGTTTATGATTTATTGTAGTCTTTGCAATATTGATATAGCACTTACTGATATTATTACAAATTTGCGATATATTGTGCAACCTGAAAAAAAAAAACACTGAATTGTTCATGGTGAGGCCAGCAACTATTTACAATAAGTACTCAACTGAAAGGAAGATGTTTACATATCCAGATACTGATACATACTGTATAAAAGGGAAACATGTTTTAAAGATGAATTTTAAGCTACTGGTTTTGGTTATTTCTGTACAAATATTGTCAAAACAGTTAACTGTCATACTGTGTCTATAATGTGAAAAAAAGTAAACTAACCTCTAAAATATAACACATCTACATTAAAATCACAAGTCTTTTTAATTGGTAGCTGCTAAAAGTTGCTAAGATACTTCAATAAAATACTAMATAACTAGAACACATATGAGGACATACACAGAGACTTTGGCTGAGACTCAAATATTTACTTTCTGCATTAAAAAAGAGAAGAGAGAGCACAATGTTTCCAGAGGATGCACTGTCAGCCTAGTGTTAGTTATGCTTGGGCAGCTTGTTCTGTAGGTAGCATTCAAGGAGGAATATGATTGTAGGGAGTTTTGGCAGCTTCGCCCAGCTTTTGATTCAAAGATGTGTTCTTGTGAAGCACTGCTGTAGGCACTCAATGCATATACATACAAATGAGATCAAGAGCAAGGACAGGAAGAGAAAGGAGAGAATGCATGAAGCTTAACGTGAAGAGGTGCCGCTCTGAAAAGTTGGATTAAGCAAAGCAGGAAGGCCCATATATTACACCAGAGAATGAATCCCAAGCACGTATGTATGGTAGGAGGCAAGCAACCAGCAGTTTACAGGACCAATCAAAACCAGAAGCAGGAACAAAAAAGAAAAGAAAAATAAGTAAATATGCAAATAAAATGCTTGAATTTATTACATTGTTCAGTTTTTTTAAAGTTCTGAAGCACACAGAGAAACTAAAAAATGAACAAACAAGAAAAAAAAAGGAAAAAGTTGATGTCCCACATGATGCCCCGTGGGAAGTGATTATTTAGGGAGGTCAGTTTATCTGCCCTCTAAAAGTTACAGTTTGTAGAACTCAACAAGACATTTTCACAACCAGATTTTCACTGCTTGTATTAAACGGATTCTGGCTCAGTACTTTCTGAAACGTAATTTGCAACCAGTTAACCTGCTATTGTTAAAATCCAAAATCGGTAAAAATGATTAATGATATTGAAATAAACAAACACTTGTTACCTATAGAAATAAGAGCTCATACCTGTAATCTTGGCAGCCTTTTCCTCTTGGTTAACTCGGTTCTCCTCATCCTCCTCATTCTCCTCTTCGAAGTCGTCCAGGTTGCCGATGTCAGCTTGTTTCATGCTCATCAGGCTGGCCAGACTCTGCATGTCCTCATCTCTGCAACACAGAATATCATCATTAGAGACAGCAAACATTCTTCAGGAGTGAGGAAACCCCTATATATATA